GCAACGTTGCCCACGCACGGGGCTGTTGGGCTTCCACCCAGCCAGCAAGAAACAGCTTTTGCTCGCTGGTTAGAGCATGCAGATAGGAAGTTTAAGGAATTTACTCACCCCACCTCCCCCTTGGGGAACATTGTGTGTACTTTATGGAATACATTAATTTAATAATACTGTCTCTCTGCAGAGTTCATCCCAGGAAGTGAGAGTCAAGCTTATGGAAAGGAGTTGAAGACTTGCAAAATAAGAATTAAGAAAAATACATGCCAAAAAACCCTATCTGCACAAATACAGGTTGATCTAGAGATTCATGTGTAGATCTGATGATGAACTGCCCATGGTTTTGGGGAGGCTAACTCTTTTGCTTTTGATTGCATTGGAAATCTGAAGTTCATGCTCATGAGAAGTAAAATCAGAGAGCGTGTGTTACTCGGTGTGCCTAAAGATCGCAGAGGCAGCAGCGAAAAGACAAAACTTCTCTTTGAAGCAGTAGCTTCAGCTGTGTCTTATTGTCTACACTGAGAACTGAGAGAAATAGCAGCCAACCTGGGAGAAAATGCCAGCTAAAGGTAAATACTTCTTCAACGAAAATGATGACTGCAGGATATCAGACCCGCTCTATGAGAAGTACCGCTATACAAGCCAGCAGCATCCACTCCTGCTATTGCTGCTCTTCATTGCAATAATCTTCTGGACTACTCTAATTATAATCTTTTTTGTCACTAATGTGAGTATACTTTTTTCTTTGTGTTCAGTGTTTTCAAAGATGATGAGGAATCACTATAACAGCACACAAAACACTTCTGGCTAAATAATTTTTTGAGCCACATGGTATCAAAGTTGCAATGTTGAAAGAAATCAAGTAATTGTGTATGTAATGCTGTGTATGTTTTTGAAGGGACAGGGAAGAGAGGAGACAGTGTTGTCAGACACATGCGTAATTAGTATAAGGATTGTTCTTTCCTTCCTGTATGTTATGAACAAATCATAATCCAGGCTAAATAGTAGCTACAATAGTAAATAAGTAATAAAGGGGCCAACGAAGGAACAAGAGCATGTTAAAATGTCCTGCATTTCTCGTATTTTCTTTTTAGTCATCCAAGAAATGTAAAATAATACAGTGATTCATTGGTTATGAATTCATGAGGTGATTTTTTTTTTAAGGATTTGTAGATATTAATTCCTTTTCCTTTTTTTTGGTAATAAAACCACAACACCAATCTCCCAGTACAACGTGTGATCTGTTGAATGAATAGTCAGAAAAGAGCAGGGATCCTATAGGCATAGGAAAGATGCAGCTTTAAGAATTTTTTGTAGTGTAGCGTAATATGATTTTCTGTAAAGAAATTAGGTGTTCTTCAAGCCAGCCCAGTTGACAGCTGGTAAAAAGGGGAGTTGATTTAAAGATAATGTTCTAAGAAGGTAATAAGGAAGCTGTTACAATCCTTCATTGCCTTCTAACACTGCTTTCGAAATACTGTGCTTCATGATAAAGTGTCTTTAAGTCTCTCTTTAGCAACAAATCTGATCTTACCAATTGCACTTGGTAAGTGCAAGCTTTTATTCTTAAAAAAGGAAAGGCATAGCAACAGTATTTGTATGCTACAAGTCATCTCCTGTAAAACTTAGAAACTAAGAGTTGTTACACTCCTTTTTAGCAAAGCTTGAACTCCTGAAGTGCATTTCTTTGGGTACATCTGCATTGTTCAAAATAGTATAGTTAGAACTTAGCTTAAAAGACAAAATCAGAACCACTAATTTGGGAAATAATAATGGTGGAACTGGGGTAGACTGGGTATCTATAATAGTATTTATTGTATTATCTCTGTATGTGTGAATATCAGAAAGTGTTAATGCTGACACAGCTGGAGTACTTAGGAACTCAGGTTAGCATATTTTAAAGCCATCTAAGCTGTTTCCAGGACAGTATAGATGCATTTTCCATTTTTTCTAAAGGGGACATTTGAACCAAATATAACACTTTGTTTTGCTTTTGCAGGAAGCACGTTATCATCTTGCCTTCATTATTGCAGTATGTGCTGCTCTTGTCATATTTGCAGTCATGTACTTACTTTTATGTATTGGATCCCTATTTCGGAGATGGCTAATGTTATTTGGAGTTATGATTTGGATTTGCTTCCTAATCGTAGGATATGTATCTCTTTTTGAACAAAAAAATTATCAACTATGGGAACAGGTGTGTATATCTTGTTCATTCAGGTACTTACGTGGAACTGGTAGTCAGTATATATGAATATGTTTGTGTGATTTATTTTTTTCTGAATGTTATAACTGCGTAATATTTTTTTCTTGAGATTTAGGTTCACTTTCCTGAATTGGTTTTATTGGTTTATTATAGTCAATTTTAGTTTGTATTCTTTATTATAGTGAAAGTACAGTTTAGTGGAGAAATTGGATAACTGCATAAATCTATGTGGGAATTGCACCTTTAAGTTGTAATTTAATTGTATTTAAGATTTTTACTAAATCTTGATTACTATGAATTAATCTTTAAGAGAATTTTTCATTAATAATACTTGCTTTGTTAATTTATATGGGTCAGAGCGGTGGTCAGTAAATGTATAAAGGACTCTAGAGCTGCTCTAGGGAGCACGTTTTCAAATCAGTGGGAGAGGTGAAGTGAACAATAAGAATTAATGACACATCCTGGCATAGCTGGGTGTGGCTGAAGTTCATTGCTTAGTATCTCTGATCAGAAGATGGGTGATTTCATGATGCCAAAAATATCGTAATCTGTAGGAAACTCCTCCTAAGCTCTCATAATGTAAACAGAAGAGGTTTTAATGAAATAAAAATGACTTTTTATCTTGTTTTACTGACTCTTCCCCTTCCCCTCTTTATTTCAAATAAAGAAAGATATAAATTGTCTGTTAACCAAAATCTGATTTGCATTATGGTCTGGATCCAGCACCGTGTATTTACAGTTACTATTCAGTATTTTTTAACTTAAGGAAGAAGCTATTACCTTAGGAAAAAACAAAATTTACTGTTCTTAACTATAAGTACAAGCACGTAACAAAGCAAGAGTTGGTTTTGCTCTTTCACTGCTGCAAGCCAATGTCTTGTGTTGTTGTCATGTGGTAATAATTCATTAATGTTGATTTAAAGCCTGAAATATAAGGAGACCCTAGATTAGAAAGTAGAATTGAATAGGTTAATTTCAGACTTTTATCTCAAGTTACAAATTTATCACTAATTAAAGCTACTCTTTAAATGCAGGTATGACCTTTGCTTGTCCGTGCTTATAAACTATTACACAGCATTCCGAACATTGTGTGATAGGGGTTGTACATATGACAGAAGATGATTTTTTTCTTTTTTTTTTTTTTAAGTCCAGCTAGAATACTAAAGATGAACATGAAAAGATTACTTTTGTTGAATGAAAACTTTTATTTGCTTGTTTGTTTGTTCATTGTTGTCCCAACCAAGCTATTTATTCTGCCAAACATTTAAGTGCAGTCTGGGCCTTGAGGCTTCCCTGGAGGAACCTCATGTCTGGAACGGCACAAGTTGAGTTGCAATGATGAGATGGAGCTGAGCCAGAAACACTGCAATATTTTCTCTGATCAGTGTTGTTAGTTTCCATACATTTGAGCTAAACACTATAACAAATCTATAAATATGGATTTAAGTTTTATCAACCTTCCTTCTGATCCCTAGCAGTTTAGTGGACCGTTGTGCATTTTGTAAAATCTGTGCAGCTAAATATGTAGTTAGTGGCAATAATGAGTATTCTCTTGTGTCAGCACCAGGAAGTATTGGTTGGATTTTGGGGTTTTATCAAATACGGAGTAAACACACACATGTGATCAGGTAATGTTAAAATCAGAATAATAACTTGGAGAAGGTGAGAAATCCGATTCTATTCAATATTGCTATCCTTGCAACACAGTGTTCCTGATACATGATGTACAAAGTGCATCTTCCGCTGAAATAGCTAAAATTAAGGATGAAAGGCAAGGACAACTAAAAAACTTAAAGATGACATGTCATGTAAAACTGTCTTATCTATGAATCTGTAGCTGCTAATTCCCTCAAAGCTTTTAGGACTACCACTGTCCTTATGTTTTTAATTGTGCTTTTGAAATGTCAGTACCTAATTGTTCAGCCTGAAAATGAGCAAGAATCCTGCTACTTTCCTCCTTGTTCTGTAGTGATTTTTGGCAGGCACCTAATAACGTGTATATGTGATTCGATTTTTCCCCCCCACCCCCTTTTTTTCCTCTCTTTCCAAAGGTGCCATTCTTTCTGTTCATAATCTTCACAGTTTATACCATGCTACCCTTTGGGATGAGAGGTGCTGTCATAATTAGTGTTCTTTCTGCTCTCTCCCATATTGTTGTTCTAAGCATTGTGGTAAGCACGACTCCTCAGGAAAATAAGGAATCCATTCTATTTCAGGTAAGGAAATACTACTTGTTTAAGTAATTAAATACCATAGTTGTATTACCATTTGATATTGGCATAACTAGCCTTTTTAGATAAGTTCCAAACTTCCACATGGATGTTCCAAAGTCATGGATTTGGAGCTTGGGCCCAATGTGTTTTGCATGCTTTCCATAAAATTGCAATTATTTTAATCTATAATGCATTTTGATTTTCTGACTTCAGTGGAAGAAGCAGTATTATTTTAATTTTTTAACTAAGTTACTACTCAAAATATGACAAACTTTGTCAGAATCATTCTTCCCAATCTGTGCTGTTTCAGATGGATCAGTCTAACTTCATCTGGCACTGCCTGCAGGGTGGATCAAAAGGACTGTTGCTGTCCTGGGGAGTCAGCAGGGCCTGGGAGTGCTGCTGGGTGCTTTCAGGGTTCCCAACATTTTATTAATAGGGTGTGTTCAAAGGAGCACCCCAGCTCTTTTGATGCAGGTGTGTGTCAGACTTCACACAGCACGCTGATGCATGAGTTTGTAGACTGGTTTCTCCCTAAATCAAACACTGGTGCCTGCAAATAAATGTTAAATGATATAGCAGAATTTTCTGTTTCATTATACTACTGTATGTTTGTACAGGAATGCATATATTTCCCAGGTACATCCTGACTAAATGCAACACTATGATTTGGTGTGTGACAGGGTAAGAGAAAAAGTGCACGTGGCCTGGGATTGATTGTTTTTAAGGGACTAGTATGTGTATTAGTGAAGTATCAATGACTGTTCTGCAGTAGGTAAATATTTTTTTTTTCTTGTGCAGCTACTGGCCAATGCTGTCATTTTTCTTTGTGGTAACTTGATGGGTGCATTTCACAAACGCCAAATGCAGGTTGCTTCGTGGGATTTGTATAGATACACATTAAAGTGCATTCAGGTCCGAATGAAATTGAAGATTGAAAAGAGGCAACAAGTGAGTGAACTAATTCATGAACTATGAATTGCTTGTTTTCATTTCTAAAGTCTGTATAATTTTATAAGGTTGGTGACTAATGCATGTTGAAAGGCTTGGTCCGATCTTTGTGATACCCACCTAGTGTAAAAAAAAAAAAAAGTTGTGCCAATTGTAACAAAAGAAGGAAGTTAAAGGGAGGAAGCTGTTCTCTGTGGCTTGTCTATAAGAGAATCACAGTATTTGTAACAAGAATGTAATTGCCAGTTATTTTAGTTACCTTTTTCCTGGTATAAAATGTTACTGGGACTGGCCTAAGGTAGCTTAAAAGAACGTGCCTTCAGTGGCTTGAAAAATACTTGTAATTTCAGCAGTTAGTTTCATGCTTCCCTTGGTCACATTTTTTGTTTTGAATTCTAAAGTATTATTTGTTCTTGTATTTTCTTGTCTCACAAACTATTTTTCTTTTGCTAGAAGGAGAAAATTGGAGCCTAAGGGAGAAAAAAATCGTATAATAGATTACTGTATTCAAGTATGACATCGTTTATTGCCATATACTCCAGTGGTATTTAAAGAATAAGCAAGGAACGTGAATTTCTTACTGAGGAAGGATTGTAAAGAAGTATCAAAGCTGAAACTAGGGCACCTTTCCTCTTTTATCCTGGTATAAGTAGGGTTAAGAATGGCAGCTCTGGAAGGCCGATGTGTACCAAGTTCTCTGCCCACCAGTTATTAGATAAAAGGAAGGGGCTGAACAGTGACTGACTTGATCAAATTGAAAAGAAGAAAATGCCACACTGCTAGTGCGATCTGTCCTCTGATGCTAATCTTGTGAGACGAGATGACAAATCTGTATGAAAGTCCTGGCAGAATTTGCCCACGCAGCAGTCAGGGAAGCATCTGATCAGCTTACACAGGCAGTGTGCTCTCATTCTTTGGGTGATGTGGTAACTTGCATGGTGTTTTTTTTTTTATGGTTGCTTGTTTGAAGTGTAGATGTGCTTAAGTCTATGGACAGCTTTCTTTTCATCTGTGTTGTAATTTGTCACACAATTTTGAGTCTACTTTTTGCCACCCACTTTTTCTCTGTGAAAACGATGTGAGAAATGCAGTTCAGGGTTCATCATGGTTTCTTGAAAACTGTGTAATGTGTCAGCCTCAAATGGCCCTGTTTACATTCACTGGGTCTGCTGTCAGTTTAAATTTTTCCCCAAGGTTGACTCTTCTAGTATGAAAATGCTAGAGGAGGGGAAGGAGGTGTTTCTGTTTCTGGGGGCAGTCTCAAACTAACTGCTGTCTATACCTAGTGTAGGCCAGTACTTGATGCTCAAGGACTCCCTCTTCCTACTGTGATCCCAAGGCCTTTCTTTTTGGTGGCAGGCACTGGTTAAGTAACCCTGGCAGCTTACTACCATCTGTATACTGCTGCATTGGGTATTCAGGAAAAGGGCACAAAGATTTGGTTCAAAGGGACAGCATTTTACTCAGTTACACAATATGTTGACCTTGCTGGCGATGTCATCTGAAAAAGTTCCTGCTTGTAGCTGCTCCATGCAACATTTCCTCTTCTGTGGTGACTCTGTCTCTGGGACGCTAGAGCCCCTCCCGGGTTAAAAGTACTCTATCTTTGTCTTCCTTTTCTGCCCAACAACTTAGCAGGGTCATCTTTGAAGAACGGGCTTTTAAGTCAAAGCCAGTGTAAAACAGTGCGCTGAATAGTCAAACAATGTAAGTGGGTTTTGAAGAGTCTGTATTCTTGCTCAGTTGAAAAGACTTTATTTCAGTGGCATCAGTTCCTGTTTTATTTAAGCTATAGCAGCATGTTGTCAACACTTTTGTATCTGCTGATGCTTTTCCAGCATTTGAGAATTCACAAGGGTTTTTAATACTGCATAGATTGTTCGTTATAGAACACAAGCTTTTACAAGAAGCTTTATCAGATGATGCTAACATAACACTGAGATTGGTGGACAAAATAAGTTTTCATTTATCCAGGAACTGTAGTACTGAATTCTGAATTTTTGTGTGTTTCATGGTTACAGAGAGATGTCACACCTAGGTCACAGGGAAGAAAAGAAAAAAATATGCAACACCATTACTTAACTGTAAAATCAGTGATTTTGAGAACAGAAATGTAAAAGTCTTTTCTGGAAAACCTGACATGCATTGAATAAAGGCTTTTTTTTCCCCTTTTTTTTTTTTTTTTTTTTTTTATTAGTTCCTTCTTACAGTTACTAAAATCCTGCAGTTTCAAATTTACTGTGTTCAGAATTTTGCACCATTATTTTTTTTCCCCTCTCCTTTTAGGAAAATTTGCTTTTATCCATACTGCCAGCTCATATCTCTATGGAAATGAAGTTAGCAATCATAGAGCGACTAAAGGAAACCAATGATAATAGGCAAATGCATGACAACAACTTCCACAGTTTATATGTAAAAAGGCACCAAAACGTTAGGTAAGTTGAAACTCTAGAAGTAATTGTATTCATATAAGCTGATGATTCCTAACAGTGTATATGGTCCAGTGAAATTAAAATTTGGAGGTAGACTTGCAGGCTGAAGTGAGCTTCTTTCCTGTTGTGGGAAGGTAACATGTCTTGAACTGATGTGCTGTCTTCTAAATCAGTTGAGACACTTGAACCCTTTTTTCTGGAGTTGTTTTCCAAAGAGAGATGCTTTCTATTAAATATATTTTAATATTTAAGCTGACTGTGGAATAGACATCTTCATATTTCAATTATGTTGTTTTTTCCTTTTGTTCTTGTCTAGCATTCTTTATGCAGACATTGTAGGATTTACTCGCCTTGCCAGCGACTGTTCTCCTAAGGAACTAGTAGTGATGCTGAATGAACTTTTTGGAAAGTTTGATCAGATTGCAAAGGTAGGTGTTGCAGTTTGTTGTACAGTAGGGATAAAGGCCACCATTGGAAAAAGAAGTCATCTTTTCCTCAAGACATAAGGCAGCTGGTATTAGTGCTTCTGAAGTCAGGAAGGGAAGGCAGCTTTGGCTTTAAGGCTAACTAGCAAAATGACATTAAAACAAAATTTAAAACAAAAATGCGAAATTTAGCAAGTTGTTACTGTAATTCCAATTCTTGAGTCTGGAGGTTTATCCGTATTGTTCAGGGAATTGTCTGATGGCAATAAATGATTGAATAGGGCTGTAAGAGGTACTGTATGCAAGGTCTCTTGAGGGGCTTTGATGTGTGCAGTTAGAAGGATTGTTTGTTGGCTCTACAAATGGAGAACTCTCAGGCACACATTTAAATTCGTAAATTCAGTCATATTGCATCAGACCGAGGAGTTCTTCAGCTCAGGAGTAATAATCAGTAATGGATACTTACAGAAAAGCGTAAGAATAGGAAGTAGATTAAAATGGTCCCTATTAAGACATACCCTCACTACTGACCCTTCGGGCTGGCAGTAGTTCTTACCACTTCCAAGTGCTGCTTGATGTTAATTTCTTTGCAGCTGTAATCAGAAACTCAGTTGTTGAGTTCTCACATTACAGGGACCGTATCACATACGTGCTTGCATGATTGACTCTGTGTGATGGTTTCTGTTAGCCTCTAAAACTGACCCTAATCTTAGATATATGTTCTGTCATATCCATTGATTTTTCTGTTAGTATTATGAGGCAAATACAGCTTTAGGAAAATGAACGCTGCATTTTTGTTGCATCTGATGTGACATCAAAAAAACAAATACCACCCAAATTGTGGTTCTAGAAATTTAGCATTGGTAAAGCATAAATCAAGACTAGTGACTACCTATCAAAACTTCCCATGCTTTAAAGATGTTGGGTTGATTTCATAATTGACTGTATTTGGATATACTGAATGTAAATTAGAAAATTAATGGGACCTGGAAAATCTTGTTTTTGTGAAATTCTAAAAATTCTTCAGAAAAAGTGGGACAACTGTGAAAGTACTAATATAGCAGAGGAGTGAAATTGCTTTAATTAAACCTTTGTGCTTGTCATTGAATAAATTCTTAAATATATCACTGATTAAAACCTAGCTAAAATCCTAGTTAACCTTTTTGACTAAATGACATTGCTAATCTTTGTATTTATATGAATTCAAGTACTGGCAAATACGAGTCTCATACTAATTGTATTGTAATTGTATTGTTGCGAAGCAGCTATTAAGAACACACAGAGTAAGTCATGTCATCTTAGTTGCCATGAACTTTTTATGCCGAAGTAGAAGCTGAGGTTAAAGACATTTGGTCATTTTTTGCAACTGTTCCTCAGGTACAAAAATAGAAAAGATTCTAGATTTTGCGTAATATGTTTTAATTTTTCACCCCTGTCTGCAAATTGCACTATTTAAAAAATGTCTGGATTTAGCGAGTCAAGGTCTTTTGCAACTCTGTGGTTGAGCTGTAAGAAGAGACTCCTGCTTTTTGTGTTATTTTTGTTCTTCTGGGGAGTATTGTCAGTCATCTTTTCCATAATGTAAAAATGTTGTAGGCTCCATTTTACGAAATAAAAGTCGATGGCTAACCTGGACACTGAGCTGGACACTGAAGTCAGACAGCTCTAATCTAGGGCTAGGTTCCCCTACTGATCTCTGAAACTGAAGCACAAGGATATCTAAGCTTGTGACTTGTTGCAATGCTCAGAACCTACTCGATGGCTTAAGAGGGTGGAGAATGATGGATGTTCTCTTAAGGCTTTGACTGATGAGGGAGAACAGCTTAGTTTGGTAAATTGCTGCTGATTTTGGAGTTGATTGGAGAATTGCTGGGCTGTTCCCACAGCAGGGGGGGCTGGGCAGCTGAAGGTGTCAGCTGGCCCAAATTAAGCCATCTCTACTGATAAGTCAAACACTATACAGCCTTGCAGAATAGTGGCTTGCTTGCAACCTCTGTAATTAAAATTACTCAGTAATGTTTTAACAAAAGACAGTATGAGGAGCTCTTTGCTCTTCCCCTTTCCTCTCTCCAGCCAGTCATGCGCAGCAGTATTCTCTGTTGCACAGGTAGGAGAAAGTTTTCTGCTGCCAAATACTGTTGCCTTTTTTTTTTTAATTAGTGATAGCAAACTGTAGTGTGTGCTGGCTTTCTCTTCAGTCATAGTTGGAATTAAAAAAAACCCTATTTTGCTTCCGCAAAGCTACAAAGTTGGGCATCTTGATTCCTAACTTCTCCCTAAATTCTTTACAGTTTTTACAACACTGAACAATGTTACTCACGAGGCTGCCATGCAAAAATTGAGGAAAAGGTGAACAAACTGCCTGTAATTCAGGTGTTAATAAAGACGAAGATTAAAAGATAGATAAGTAGATTTCATCCTCTGGATGGTAAATTCTGTGACAGTTTTATTTTTATTTATAGTTTCTCAATTGCATGCGGTTCCAAGAATAAAGTCAGAAACTAGTAAGATGATTAAGTGGTCATTTCTGTTACTCTCTAGTGAGCAACGTCCAGGCATTTGGATGTGGGAAAAGAGAAGTAAGCTTTGCTTCAACAAGGATTGAATGAAGCCTGACTTTCTCAAAATGATATAGACAAGTCCTAGTTTTGGTGTCATTAGCCTACTTGCAGTTCATTTTTTCCTGTTAAATGTGTTTGCTGTAATTTCACAGGAGAATGAATGCATGAGAATAAAAATCCTGGGAGACTGTTACTATTGTGTCTCAGGACTACCTGTGTCCTTACCGGTTCATGCCAGGAACTGTGTTAAAATGGGACTCGACATGTGTGAAGCAATAAAGTAAGTATAGCACAGGTGACTTTTTAATGTCGTGAGGCTATGAAGATATTGAATAAAGTCATTCTTAGTTTTCTTGTCAGCATTCGAAGTGTATATATTAGCTGTGGTTGAATAGCTACGCATTAGGTCATAAGTTTGTCTCTTGTCTTTGCACTAAGTGTATAATGAGACTAAACCTTAACAGATCTCCAGGAGGAGGAGAGAAAATCCAAAGTGTAATTTACGCTCTAATACCCTCCTCCCTTCGTAGGCAGGTGAGAGAAGCCACAGGAGTGGATATCAACATGAGGGTGGGTATTCATTCTGGGAACGTGCTCTGTGGTGTGATTGGCCTCCGGAAGTGGCAGTATGACGTCTGGTCGCATGACGTGTCCCTAGCGAACCGCATGGAGTCCGCGGGCGTACCTGGGTGAGCATTCTCCCTGTCGGTGCTGATTCACTCTGTCATGGCATAATCCTGGTTTATGAGTCTGGAATTTGTAACTGTGCCATGGCACAAATCCTCATAATGGGATGATGAAAACAGGACAAATGTGTACTTACCAGAGATGTAAAATGTTAATATTTTCGGATTCTGTTTTCATAACTATTCTTAGGCAAGTGACTGTTTCTTGACCTTCCCTTCGTTGGAGAAACTTGTGCGCCTTCAGCAGTGCATTATGTTGACTTACTTAATTTATCATGTTGTGCACAGGGATAATGCTATATTTGTAAGTTTAGCTAAAGAATAGATACACTACTTATGTCAACAAGGCAAAGCTACATATTTACCTAGTGTTTCTGTTAATATATTCATCAGTCCCACTTGATTTATATTAGCTCTATACTCACCATCACCACCACCCCCCCCCTCCCCCGCCCCCAACCACTAACACCACAAATTAAAATGCAGCCTGATGAGGAGCATCCAAGCAAGGAGAGTTTGGAGCTGTTGGTTTTGCATCTTCTCTCTGTGTAGCATTTGTCACAGGCAGAACGGGAAGGAAAGTTGAGTGGTCCTGAGTGGAAGAGCTGAGGCCAAGCAGTAATGTAACTTGCCACGTGCTCCTCAGCAGTGCAGAGGGTTGGGTCTGAGGCTGATATTCATGTTGCCTTTTTTTAAGATGCTCATTGAAAAGAACAAATATAAATATTTTTAAAAAAAACCAGCATTTTGTATTCTCCTCATTTAGGAAAGTGTACTTTTTTTTCTATTTTCTAAGTTGAACGTGGGGATTAGAATTCAGCTAAGAAACTTTTTTTTTGGGGGGGGTAGTCTGCACCAAAAAAGACCATATTAAGGGTTTCTTTTGTTCCATTCCCAAATGAGACCATGATTTTGTAGGTTCTTGGTAGTCTGTGCAAATTAGTACTTATTAATTGAATGGCATTCATGTGGGTATATGTTTAAGCATTAAAGTATTGGTTTCTCTTGGAAAGTGATTCTAACCAGTGACACTATAGGGTTCTTTATTATTTCTATGCCTCAGACAGCTTTTAGGTATTTGCTTGTAACTTAAAAATTAGTTTCTGCAAAGTGATAAGGGAATATGAATATCAAATTACTTTCTTGCATTGGTGACCAAAACAGAAAGAAAACTAATTGTATCTTGGTTAACAGTTGCAATACCATGCAGGTTGAATGTTTTAGTGTGTGGACTCGACATGATTAAACAAGAATACAGAGCTGTAAAGTTTCTTTTGTTGGTAAAGCAAACACCATGACTCTGAATATAGCATGAACACATACTTTTCTTAGTCATGTTTAGGACCATTGCCTAATCTTGAAAACTTTGATTATTCCATTACTTTCTTTGTGCTTATGCTTGATAATCTGTTAAAGAAAGCTGGTTTAGGTTGGCATGCTGACTCTGAAACATTACACTTAATACTTCCTGTATCTATACATGTCTAGCACTCACCTATCGTGTTTCAAAACTAGCCAGAGGAAACCTTCCAACTGTGGAAGACTGAGCCTCACAGGGAGGAAGGGTTTGGATTCATTATGCAAATGTTATGTTTTATTTGTTTTCTGCTCTGCGGAAAAATGATGTGTCTGAGATTCCCCATTCTGATGTTAGCTAGTACAGCTTCTTTGGAAGCAGAAGTTTTGTCATTAGGAGCAGTTTGAGGTTTTTATTTAAAATAGGAAGTATATATATTTTGGGTTTCTGTAAATGAAGGAATTCTAAAGACTTTTGGAAGGATGCAAGAAAACTTCTAGCTTTATAAATATTTTATTTCCATTGACAGAGTATCCTTGTACGTCGTCTTTCTGATTTTAAAAATTATTTGCATTCCTAACAATGTAATACACTAGTAAAGCAGAAAGGACTAACATAAAACCAAAAATAAAAATGCATTTATGACCAATTCTCTCTAATACGTAATATGCCTGAAAGATCAGAGTATGTTATTCTCAGGCCTGTTAGCATAGGAAACTGAGTGCAGTATGTTAGGTATTCTGTACTAGCATGGTAAGTGCAATAACCCATGTTACAGCTTGCCTTTGAGAGGCAGCTTTAGCAGTAGCAGCTTTCGGTTATGTGCTGATCCTTGAGTCCAGTAAGCATTAGTAACTGCTGAGACATCATTGGCATCATAATTTAAATGGAAAGAAGTTTGCAGTAAGATCTGAACTGTACTGCGGCAGTGTGTGATTTGGGGAAGAGGGGAGAGGAAGCTTGGTAAAATGGAAAATGGTGGATAGTGAACAAATGTACTGCCTTTTGAGATAAGTGGAAAACCACAGAAAACTTGCTGCAGTACATGACTGTGTTTTAAGGCTCAGTTAATACAGGCATTGCCCAGTATGCCTCAGTCTCTATGGGAGAAAATGATGTTTTAGAGCAAGCTTTAAAATTTCAGATTTGAAAGTTCACCTCTATTGCAAAACTGCATAATCAAGGTAACAATGAAAAAAACAGTTTTTTGAGACAATTACCAGTAAACAAACAAAAACATGCATCCTCTATATTCCAAAACTCTTACCTTTTGGCTCCAAATGTATTGAGGAATTTTCTGTTCTTCCTTGTGGGAAGCCACAGCCAGTGGTCTCCAGGTCTTGGCTAAATTCTCTTCAAGCAAACCTACATGCAGCATAAGGAAGTAGAGGCGGATGGGACAGTGATCCTCTTGCTCTCTGTAGTTAGGCAGGAGTGCTGCACACTGTCAGCTTCCATTCTGGAAATGTTCTATTCCCAGCTCTGTGCTGACCAATTGTAGGATCGACAGCACAGTGTTTAACCCCTCTGTGCCAAAGAAAAGTGAGAAAAGCTAGGGGAGGATGAACAACAAGAAAGTAGAATATAAGAAAAGAAATGCTATTTTATGAACACACTCAAGTCTCCTGTTGAGGAATTCTATGGAAAGATATTACTCGTAATTTATATGGAAATACGTGATTCGGGATACTGAACTACAGGTTTAAGGGAAAGTGTGAATGGGTACAGAAAAATACTAGCTGCTCCCTTTAGAAATGTGTTGCTGTTGTTGCAGTGTTATGCCCTCCTCTGTTTCAGTCAGAGAAGACAGACTTTCAGAATTACCCTCCTAGCTGACAAAAAACCTTTTCCAGCTTTTTTGTTCAGACTTTGTAACCATCTCCTCCCTTCCTCATGCATTTCTAGCATGAGGCAATTCTTGCTTATGTTTTGTTTGTGAGCTTTCCTTGCAGCTCTTGCCATCTGAAACAATCTGCCTGCGAGTGTTGTCAGTCATCAGATCTCCTTTGATCACATTTCCTCTTGTTTCTTATATACGTCTGCTTATTTCAATTTAATTTTATACTGAAACTGTCTCATTCTGGGAAGTGGTTTTTAGCATACTTGCTATGAAAGATGTGCAACAAAGGGCTGCAGTAAAGGATTGGAAATACAGTTTTAAGTACTGGCAGGATTTTGCAGTTGGCTGCCAAAGCACAAGATGGCTGAAAAGCAAAAATGTCAGCAGTGGCTATTGAAATGTAAATGAAATGCTTAATGTGACCTTTCTGTAAGCGTTTGGGTCTCTTGTTCTTTCTCCCCTTCTCAGCCGTGTACACATCACTGAAGCAACATTAAATCACCTAGGCAAAGCTTATGAAGTAGAAGAAGGGAATGGACACCTGAGGGATCCTTACCTTGAATCCATGAATATCAAAACCTACTTAGTCGTCGATCCAAGGGTATGTGTATGTTTTTAAACGTGTATATTTATTCGAATATGTACATACATTTTAAGTACATAGGTGTCTGTGGTGCATACACCTTTTTTTATTCAGGGACAGAATTAAAATACAGTATGAGTCATCTGAGTAGCTTGGATTTGGGACCTCAGATCTGAAAGCACATCCTACTGTTTTATGACATGTCTGTTAGATTGAAGGTAACGTGTTATGCTGAAATCTTTTATGTGGTCCACTTAGAGTAAAAACTGATATTTGACTATGTATTTGCATGAAGTGTGTGTCTCACAAATCCAGGTCAAAAGCTGGGATGAAGTAATGAAAGAATACCTCTGCTATGTGGCCACTTTCAGATAAAATATTCCCTGTAAAATAGCTTCTGACATCTTCTTACTCACTATCTTAGATGTGAGATTCACCTTGTTTTCAAGGTGTAAAGTTAGCAGCTGTTGGTTGCCCATTTAGAACCTGGTAAGTGCAAACACCTGGAGTATTGCTATTTTGAATCAGCTTGTGGTTGATGAGTAAAATATTTCAAAAGAAAGAAGAATGAAAATGACAAACTTCTTTCCTTCATGATCTTTACAGGAAGGAACACTGTAGAGCCACTTTTAATGAGCAAGAACTCAATCTTTGTTGCATGTTTTATATACTCAACACTGCAACCCCCCCTACATGTGCACAGTGAACATTCTCAGAATGAGGATCTAAGTCTATCAAAATGGTCCCTGCTCACTGAAGATACCTGAGAAATGTTAGAGAATAACCAGTCATTGCTGTATCGGTTTATTCTGTAGTTTTAGCTTCCTTATAGACCCACAAGGGTATTACTGTATATCCTGTATATGCTGCCTGACTCTTCACCTGTGACACAGGTATATAATCTAATGTTGAGTCTGTAATTTGTGGGATCTTCTCGTAACCACTGTTTTGATACGCCCTAGCTCAGGAATTGGGAATCTTTTTCCCCTGCTACTGTGCTGACTGCAAGGAAATTCTATCCATCTATAAGATCCTGCGATCTCTTGCATCATCGTAAATTTACCCAGGAAGTTTGAATGTTGCAGTGTTACAAGCAAAGGCTTGTAAAGGCAGCTGAAGCAAAGTCATTATGTCATGATTTGCTTTAGCTCACAGTAATTAAATGAGATAAAGGAATTGAGATTGGCTGATGCATTGCTGGTATGTGTTTAGAGTCCTACTAAACAGCTCGATTGTATAGTCCTAAACTACTCAAGTACACAGAGCTTTGTTTCTTTGTAATTTGTATCACTTTCTGTTTTCTAAACGAGTGTTTTTTTTCTGTTAGTCCAAACAATGCGTATCAAATAATCATCTCCCTAAAACAAGAGTTAATGATGGGCTGAAGATGCGAGCATCTGTTCGGATGACACGTTATTTAGAGTCCTGGGGAGCAGCCAGGCCCTTTGCCCACCTGAACCACAGGGAAAGTGTGAGCAGTGACTCTTCAAGTTCACAGGGAAGGCGAAGAAAGGTGAGGTGTGAAGCAGTGATTGTCATTCTGCAATTGCAAACTGCTCCTTGTGTCTGTGGTGTGAAACTCAAAACCTGACATGGTTGTTGTGGCTGAATTTCTGCTTTTACTCTTGGTGTTAAATGCGTACACAGAACTAAGAAGGTATCTGTGCAACAACTATTTCTGTCAGAACTTAGCAGTATTCAAACTCTGCCAATCTCTAGCAGGCTATACTCATAGTAAACCTTCAAAGTGAAACTTTGAAACTGTCTTATTTTTCCTGACATTTTTCCATCTTGAGGTTCTGCTCACTACATGTGGTTTTGGAAAAAAGATTATTTATTCCAGACTCCAGATACACTCAACATTTACTTAAAATGTATAGAAAATAAACAGTCCCACCACATGCTCTACCTGCAACAGGATTTTATCAGTAAAGAATTTTAAAGATTAAGAATTCTTAAGATTTTTAAGATCTTAAAATTTAAGGAAAATAATTTTTCCTTCCACCTGCCCTTCCTGGAAGCTGAAAGGAGGAGATGTGCATGCTTTTAGGTGTGCTCCTGGAGGCACAGCAAGGCTGTATTACTGGCTGTGGACAGATAGCTGTAGTAAATTTGAAATTAAGTATCCATCCATTCAGGTTTGTGGAGTGGTTTCCAGTCTACTTGCCTCTGCTGATACTAATTATTACAGTGTGTGGAGAAAAATAAGAGGGAAGATCTGTTAAATTTTTTTCTAACAGTTTTTTTTTTGGTCAGAAAACACTCACTTGTTAAAAAGCAACCCTTTCCAGCAATATTTTCTGCTTTGTAAGCTTTTCTGTTTGAGAATGGTTCTTGATTTTTATTTGTGAAGAAAAATGTTTTTGGCAGCTTCCTGAAGTTTATTTCCAGCAGTTGTTTGCCATTTATTGAGTGTGTAACTTACTCTTAATTCCTTATTTGATTTAGGAAATACCTTTGTGTTCCACTGGGCGCCAGAGAACTTCCGATAGGTTTGTCAAGTACTCTCTTTTTTTAAAATATGCGATCCTGTGCTCCTCTTGCGGTTCAGTGTACTGTAAGCATGTGATCTTTCAGTTGATTAATCACTGTGTGTATGGTATTCCTGCATTAGAAAAGTTAAGCTAAATCTTTGGCCTTTAAAAAACTTCTCAATTCACGTTTGTTATTGTTAGCATACTCTAAAAGGAGCTTACCCCCCTTTGTCTTAACTGGCCTCTCACTCATTCAGGTTGGGTTTTGGTTTATGGGCTTGTTGTGGTTTAACCCGGCAGGCAGCTAAACACCGCACAGCCATTTGCTCACTCCCCCAGTGGGTGGGGGGAGAGAATCGGGGAAAAAAAAAAAAAGTAAAATTTGTGAGTTGAGATAAAGACAGTTTAAAAGGATGGAAAAGGAAGGGAAATTAATAATGATAATAATAATGTACAAAACGAGTGATGCACAATGCAATTGCTCACCACCTGCTGACCGATGCCCAGCCAGTCCCTGAGCAGCGATCGCTGCCCCCCCGCCCACTCCCCCCAGTTTCTATACTGAGCATGACGTCATATGGTATGGAATAGCCCTCTGGCCAGTTTGGGTACGCTTGCATGGCTGATGGTATGGAATAGCCCTCTGGCCAGTTTGGGTCAGCTGTCCTGGCTGTGCCCCCTCCCAGCGTCTTGTGCACCTGGCAGAGCATGGGAAGCTGAAAAGTCCTTGACTAGCGTAAGCAGTACTTAGCAACAACTAAAACATCAGTGTGTTATCAGCATTCTTCTCATCCTAAATCCAAAACACAGCACTATGCCTGCTACTAGGAAGCAAATTAACTCTATCCCAGTTGAAACCAGGACAGGGCTGTACCAGGATGGAAGGGAGTAGGGAAGTAAGAGACCGAAAGAGCAGTGGAAAACAAATCAAAACGCCTCATATATAGTATACATGTATATGTTGTAACCGCTTGTGCTACCTCAGCTCTTAGTTTTCTTCCTCATAGATGCTACATTTGTTTGTAAACATTATAGTACAAAATAAATACAGTTTAACATAAATATATAAGTAAATATATGTTATATTTTACAAGATACGTCTTTGGTTAGTAGTATTAATGTAGGCCACTGTAGTGTAATAAAAAATTGGCACTATATGTAGAAATGCTTACAGTGGTACCTGTAACACAGAGTTAAGTAAGTAGATGATTTTTCACTTGTGAAACATTCTCTTAGTTTATCAAAATACTGTCTTGAAAAATGCATGATTTGAGTAACTAGAGAGTATGGATGTCTATGTCTATCAGTTTGGAGCATTCTTGTTTAACTTTTCCCTGGTAGCTTACCCCACTTGTGTACTGAGAAAGTATGGTCCTCTGCAGCCATTAATTGTTTCTGAATAGCATTTGTGACATGGACTTAATTTTGTTCTCAGAAATTCATCTCAGAAGGGACGGATGGAGGAAGATATTTATGATGAAATGATGTCAACCATTGAGGGCCTCAATTCAACTAAGTATGCAGTATTTTATGTTTTTCTTCATCTTTTCTTTGAGAATAATCTGCATTCTCAATGTTAAGTCTAGATACAAAATTTACTTCTCAGAAATGAAAAGTTACCAGGATTTTTGTCTTGCCTTTTTTTGGTCTTTGTTAATTTTTCACTTATTTTATTTCCTTTTTGGTTTTAATTTGAATATAATGAGAGTATTACTGCATTATTATAGCAAGAAGCCAATGGTTAGTCTAGCTGTACAATGTGGTATATATAGTACTATGAAATAGCAAAATTATTACTTTGTTTCTTATGACTGTCCAAAGTAATGAGCCGAACTGCAGTGTATGATGGGATAGAAAGTTAATGTTTGTGTTCTGTTTATTAAAATAAGAAGTGTCAGGAAATGGGGTGCGGTCCTGAATAAAACCTATGTATGAAGTCAAAACACAGTTTTGGAGGTGGTAATAAAATTGCTTTAGTGTCTGGTTCACTGAAGGTAAACGGTCTATCAGTAGTACATGGTGCATTTGGCACTATATTTTTCATTTAAAAGTAGACAAGCACAGGCAATGTTGTTGGTTGTTGGTTTTTTTTTTTTTTAATTTAAAATACAGTATTTAAATTCCTATCAAATATAAAATAGTGAATTTGAGAAGAAAACTTCTTTCTTTTGTCTAAATTATAACAAGGCTGTTATCACTGTACCCCAACGATTCCTAATAGGGGCCTGATATTATTTAGGGGAAGTTTTTGGAGGCTCTGGGCCATCTCTAACATCTGCTGTTATACTCTTCTATTTGTGAACCTTAGGGAAGGTCTGGGGTTACATTTTGCATGTAACTGGCAGATGCTGCTGTCTGTGAGAGTGTTCTGGATGTGCCCGTCAGCTACATAAAAACGTAACTGCTCAAGTTATGCTACGAAACATAAAGCCTGTCAAATGTGTGTAAAACGGTGGCACTCTCACCCTGTATACTGTGAAGTCTCAACTACAGCGATGCTTTTGCATACTCTCCTTAGCCCATTGTGTACATTTTGTAACGTGTGTCTCTTTGAATGCAGTCCGTGGTGTGGCAAATCGGATGATTTCTGTGGATTTTCACTGATTTTTGCAGAACCCGGTCTTGAAAAAGAGGTTGGTAAGAGCAAAGTAATCCTTTTTGGTCTTTGATTTGCACTTCAGAGAAGCATAAGAATATACTTGAAACTGTCTGTTTTCATTCTGAAACTGGATTCTGGAGGTGACTGCGCATCCAAAGAGATTTTTGGTAACTAATGGAAAGAAGATCTCATGATTCATTTGAGTTGGTCATTCTTCCTTGGGAATGCTAATTCTGTAGATTAAAGGAGATTGTCTCTAATCTGTGGTTAAATTCTTGCCACAAGGGAGTTAGTAGGAGTTGTGCAACTTCACTATATGACAAACTTCTCTCAAAAGTAATGAGATTTTAAAAAAAAAAAAAAAAAGTTTTTCTACATCCATAATGAAAATACTTTGCTTTCTATGGTTGTTCCATTGCAAGTATAATACTATTATTTGTTATGTACAGTGTACTTTTTCTGTTTGAATAACTGTTGCTAAATTTGCTGTGGTGTACTGTATGTATTTACTGGTATGTGTGTGCATATATACACTTTAGGTTTACTTCTGTGTATATCCTTTTTTCAATGAAGGTTTTGACTATGTGCATCTGTGAAGTGCTGATTTATAGACTTGGTGGATTTCCCTCTAGGTTTGAAATTATCCTTTGGACTGGGCTGTTTTTCTTGACAGATGTTCAAGTGAATTTTATTTGGTGGTTTGCTTTTGTTGTCTTTTAGTTCTATGTATCTTTTTAATAGTACAGTATAAATTTGCATATATATGTCATCACAAAAATGTAATAGACTTTAAAAAAACCCTGGAATTTATCCTTAAGATTGATTATAATCTGTGTTTCAGTATCGCAGCATTCCTATTCTAAAACTGAAGAGTTACTTCGCATGTGCCAGTTCTGTGTTCCTCTGTATATTTCTGATACAGATGTTTATAATGCCAAAGTAAGTGCCAGTATTTTAATAATTTATAACTCAAATTAACCAATAGCTAAAGTGAAACTCATGTGCATGAAACTTTTTAAAGTCTTTTGGAGTTCCTGAGGGTTTACATGTAAGAAACACACACCTCTTAGGACTAATTTACCCCTAATAAAGGAGTGCACTCATGTTGTTGGCCTAAGAGCCTAGATATCAGTATGAAAATAAAATAGAAATATTTCTTTAATGTTGTGTTTGCTTAGTACACAGGGGGACATGATCAGTTAAGTGAGAAATACTATTTTATAAGAATAGTTCGCTGTAAGCACATTGAGCAATAGAAAAATGGGATTAGCTGGTTAAAATGTGTTCAGTGATCCTTTTGTCTGTAGAGGTACAAAGAAGGAACTTTGAGCTTCTTCTGTTACCTCTGAGAAAGCAGATGTTTGATAATTCTGAAGTTTTATGGCGTATTTGTTTTTCATAGCTGTTGCAGTGCAATTTCCATGTGGCTTATGCATAGGGTAGTGATTCAGGCTCTCAGCGAGGAGCAGAATACCTTAAAGTAGTATTTGTGCAACAGAGCAGCAGTAACCTGTGCAATATTATGGTCATCCAGTGCTATTAGAGGAAAAATTCTATTTAAATTTAGAGAAACACAGGTAGCAAACATTAGTCTGAATTGCGGTTTGAAATTTTTTTCATTTAACACTGGTTTGTTTAATGCTTTCTCTTCTGTTTAGAACTGCAAAACTAGGAATTTCCTTTGGTGTTGTTGCGGTCATCATTGTACTTGTTTTGGTTGTGTGCTTTGCTGAGAAATGTATGGTAAGTTTGTTTTAAAAAAAACAAACTGTTTTCAAAAGTGGATGGATGTAATTCAGCAACTTGGTCTATCTTTTAGGATGATGAATTAAGCTGTTAATTTCAACAGGAGTTACAGGAGCCTTGAACCTCAGGTTACCAGAAGATTTCATTGCCTGAAACAGATTTTCATGTCTGAAAACTCTCACTGTAATTCAGAATTATTTGGGTGCTAGAATAGATGGGTTGGAGGGAGGAGGAAGATATTAAAAGTTGCTAAGTGGGGTTGGATTTTTTAAAATTTATTTTTGTGTTTGTCCTTAATAGTAATTTTGTTTGTAAATCCTGATATTTTTCTATACTGGAAACAATAATAAAATCAAAATAAGTTTGAATGCAAGATTAGTTTTCATAATAACTTATAAAGTCCCATCAAAATTACAAACATATGAATAATTAATTGGCAACAATTTCATAGCTGTTAGAATTCCAAATTCATGATTATATCAGTTAGGACACTTTGTATTTGTAGTTCCTTTTTCTTTCCATTATTAAATGTATGCAATTACTGTTTAAAAATATATAGTGACACAGAGACAGCCCATAGTGACATACAGAGTTCAGTGATGCAAAATAAAATCCTTCTCCAGTCCAAGAACTATCTGGAGGCAGGGGTGGGAGAGGGAAGGGATTTTCGAGAGTTCCTTACACTCATCAAATCTGTGTTGTGCTAGACCAAGGGTGAGAGGGAATTCTGAAGTTCTGTTGAGAACATGCCACTATCATCCTGTTGCAGAGTGGTGATGGTGGTCTCCCAGGAAAACTGCCACAGAAAGAAACAGTCTCTTACAGGGCCAGGTTCAAGTTCTGTAAAAGGGAAAGAAAAAAAAAATCGCACTCTGTACATGGGATGAAGTTTTGTGATTAATTTAAAAGTACTGTTAGATGGCATGTATGGATTTTATGTATATATGGTATGTTTATATAAGTGGATGGATTTTTTATGTATGTGTGTATATGTATGTCTGTGGGGAGAAAGAGAGAGAGGTATGTGTATATGTATGCACGTATGGTTTCTACATATGTAAAAACACATGGAGAAAAGAAAAAGAAAATTCCAAGATTGCAGTTGCATCAGACTAGAGTTTTACGCTGGGAGTGTTTTGGTATAGCATCCCTGAATAATGCTTGCAATCGTTAAAAGTATATGCTTTACTAGATGTTCTTCTCTATAGCAACAAATGGCGGATATAAGAATGTCGAGAAAGGGGACTGTCTATGGTTGGTTTTGATTTAGTCATCTGAAAATGTAATTCCAAATATGACATTATAGCTCTATAACTAAAAAATACAACATAGGTTGTTGCTATAATTTTAATAACATTTTGCTAAACCTTTCAATCAGATCATAAATTTGTAAAGCAGAAATTCGGAAAATTTTAGCACCCAGCCTCTGTGAAATAAGGAAGCATTATCTCTATTTGCAGTTGTGGAAAGGCATTAGGCATTTAATTTGAATGACTAGATTCAGAATTGTAAATTAGGAATCCAGTGAAGACTCTTGCCACTCTCCTGCAGAAAAGTAGTATTTCATATTTAGAAATATTTCTTCCATGTTACTGAAACTAATTTTGTTTACAGAAGTGCTGCTCAGAACAGTGGCCTTTCCTGCACCATCTTTGTGCTATCTCGGAAAAGGTGGAAACAATGCCTTTACTTAGGGTTCCTTTAGCAGTCATCACTATAGGTGCCTTGCTGATTATAGCCATTTTTAATTTGGTAAGTAATTGCATTATCTTTATGCTGTGAACTTATTGTAACATCCACAGTTTAAGTAACTTCCTATTGTCTTTTCATCAAGTACCATGCTTTTTGCTGCTTTTTCTAATGTGTGATTTGCAACATGAGTTGATTTTCACAAGGATAATGCACCATGTCATGTAAAAGCATTAAAAGTAAAAACTCACAGTTTGTAGAACTAAAAGTACATGCAACAGACTTGAGTTCTAGTTTATACCACCTTTTCTTGCTTCCAAGATGGCATTTGTAATTACTATTGATTGTAACCCTCATGCCTAAGATGGTCTTCCATTTTTTTTTTAATGTGGGTTTAAATGTTTGGCTGTAGCAGGTAGTTTAAAGCAGTTTACTGTACTATTTGCACTAGCTAGTAATAATGCAGATGGGGGAGGGAAGAAAATAGCTTGGCTGTCTTTTAAAACCAAAGACATTGTGGGTAGTTACTGGTAGACTAAGATGCAAACAGTGTCTGTCTTTTAGCTTTAGTTTGAGTATTGTATTGTATCTGGGGTACATACATTAGAAAAACAACCCCTTGGAGTAACCTCATGCTCATGCTCGAGACCACTCTGCTGTAGTTTTTTTTAAACAAGCTTCGTGTGACACATCATGTTAACAGTTAAACCTGTCTGTTAGCTAGCTACTAAAAGTGATGTCCTTCCTTGGTCTGCTGTTCTTCTGATTCCATGGGGAGTTTATTCTGAAAGCTGTATTGCAGAAAATGCTTAATTTTCTTTCGTAGGGTTGTTTTTCTGCTGACTTAGGTCCTTGAATTGACTCACAGTAATGTCATGTGAACACCACCAGAGACAGCCTAAAAGGAAACAGGAACAGCAGCTGTGAAACCGGGGGATGAGACAGAACCACGTTTGTGCCAGTTAGTTGTTAGATTAGCATAGCTGTAATGTGAAACTTTACCCCAAATTAAAAAATAAGTAAGTAAATACTTGGCAATTTTAACCTTCTTCCACCTTGTGTGTGCTCATACATGTTTAATACAACTATATGGGACATCATTGTATTTCAACATTTATATTGCAGTAGCACTGAAAGGGCAACCAGATCAGGACTCATTATATAATATATGGAGAAAAACCTTAAAATTAGTGACTACCTGCTAATAAGTTTGTGTGGTGGCTTTGTTGTTTGTTGTTCTCCCCCCCCCAAATCAAGACTACTGAGAACAACAAAGCTGGAAACTTTACTGGATCAGATGACCTGTCTGCTACCACCTATGTGAGTAGAGTACCATCTTAATTTCTAAGATTAAAATGAAATTAGTCTTGGATGGTGTGTATAATATAGATGGATGGCAGCATTTTGATGTATTTTCATCTTTTCATTAAGACAGAATTTTTAAATCATTGAACACAAAGACTCATGCTACAAGGCAGTTCTAGGGGTATTTTCTATCGTTAGCTATGGCTTTACTGTGCATCTTTTAGGGATTTTTCAAAAGTCTGGAGCACTCATGGATAAAGCTGAAGTTTTGGCTTATTTTGGTTACTCAGCACCTTTGAAAGGTGTTCTCTAGCATTCCTGTAAGGATAGCTTCAGCACTTACTAATGACACAAAAGGATTATTTCCGAGGGTTTAATTTTTTATCTCTTTAACTCCAAAGTAGCATTCTATTTTGAGATCATCCACGTTTGGGATGCTCCTTTGTCACCAGGCTGCCCCTTTAGATGATGGACATGTTTTTGAACAATGTGCAGCTGGTTGTGTGAGGACCCTTTCATTCAAGTCCTTACGATAAATGATAAGCTACACATATATAATGCATATTGTACTCATCTGGTAATTTTCTGTTCTTGCATGTCTGTAAATCAGCCTTTTGGAAACACAACTCAATCCTGCGTTGAGGAAACTGTAAGTAGTGAATACATGTTACTTTAAACCCCAGATCTTTGAATATTGTATGTATTACTGACAACTGGCAGGTTCTGTTGCTGTATAAAACACAGCTTTTTAGGTATCTGACAGCAGAAAAGTTCCTCATGAAATCAAGACGTTTCAGCTGCTGTTGCTGTGCTGAATAAAGTATGGCTTTGCAATTTTTTGAAAGTTCAGGCTTAAACGTAGATCTAAAACTTTGAGGAAGAAGCAGTAGAACAGGATGACGATTATGTTTGAGTCTGAGAGATGAGACCTGTACTTGCAAGGGTCCCAATAAAGTATCTTGATAGAGTGAAGGGGCTTAAATGGCCAACAGACCTGTGTCAGTGTTCTCTACGTAATTGTTTCTTTTCCAGAGGTTTGGCTTCAGGGTTGTAACTGTGAGTGTTCATTACCTTTTGGAGGTTAGATTCAGTGCCTTTAGGATGACAAGAGTTGGTGTAATACATTACTATACGGGCTCTGATCCTGAGTTGCCCCGTAAATTGTTCTGGTTTCATTCACTTCAGCAGAAATGTTAACTGTTTAGCTAAGAATCTCCCAGATCTGTGGTAGGTCTGTGCTATTATGGGTGAAAAACTGCGCTTTGTACATAAAGAGAAATAAACTCTTGAGGAGCAGAAGCTGAGATAATTTTGGAGTTGTTTGTAGACTGGAGTATGCTAGCTCAGCATCTTGTACCTGTGCTTGCGGCTGGGAGCAATCCTGTCTGCACAACGCACTTTGTACCACCTGACAGTGTTAATACTCCCACCTGCATGCTGATCTTGGACACAATGCCTGAACTGTGATTCCCCAGGAGATTTTTCAGTAATTGCATTGGATAATGGCCCTAGCTTGAATAACACTTAATAGCATCAAAGTTCTTATGAAGGAGGTGTGTCTAAGGTTGGAGAACAGGTCATGGTCTTCACATGTTACAGGTGGGGGAGATGGGAATGTGGTATCTGCTTAAGGTTACAAAAGGGGAGCACTGTCAAAAATAGGACCAGAATGCTGGAGTGTCTGGTTCAGAGCCTGTTTGCTGGACTATGAACCTAATTTAGGTTAGTCTTGAACTTGAAATGTTTGCTTAAATTAATAGATTTCAGAAGATAAATTCTCAATACCCTTCAGTTTTTATCTGACACTGCTTATGTTGGTGTGATGCTTTTTGTTTAAATCTGTCTTTAACAAAAAAGTAAACTAAAAAAAGTATTAAGTTCAGCCTTTCAGTGCAATTAAAAATAAAGCTTTAAGTGTATTTAGCAAGTGATTGTAACTTCTTGTATTTAAATTACAATGATCATGAACTTAGAGCATTTGCTATGGTTTGAAATTCTCTTATGCATAAAGCCTGAATAATGCAACTGCTCTTTAAATTCTTTTACAGTATTATGCTTATTGCTGCATATTGGGGTTCCTTGCTTGTTCAGTATTTCTTCAGATGTGCTTTGAACTCAAAGTTCTTCTCCTGTCCATTGCTGTGACTGTATACCTCATAATTTTTAATACTCTCCATCATAGACCCTTGAGCTACTGCGGCAACAGTACCAGGTGCGGTGTAAAGTTTCTTATAGTTGACAATATTGTTTCGTTAAAGTAGGCGTTAGATTTTTTTTTTTTGTACACTTACTGGAATATTGAAATATCAAAATCATGCAAGTCAGACATTACAAACCTTTCTGTAAAGTTAATGACATGGAAATCATATTAGACCATATCACCTTTTTGTTTTTCTAAAAAGAAAGTGTGTGTTTTCTGAAAAATTCTGTAATACAGTTTCTGAGATCTCTGGAAGCTTAGCTTACATTAAAGACTAGGGGGTAGAATATGAATCTCATAATTAGGTTGATCTTCTGTTAAATGATGAAGAAAAGCCTTGCTAAAAGTCTGATGCCTCAAGCTGTGCTTGTGAGACCTTGTTAGTCAATAGGGTAGTGAACTCCTCATTTACTTACCTCACCAACTGTACATATTTTGAAAAGTAACAGCAGTTTACCTGATCTAGTTGAAGAAACTATAAAAATACTTAAGAGACATCATATGTGGAAGGGTTTTACTGTTAATTTGTAAGTCTGTTTCTGAGATTCTCAGCACAGCCTCATAGCTGAAGATTAGGATAAGTTCATTTCGCAGAGGCTGTGAGCTGTTAGCACAGCTTAAAAAAGCTAAAATGAGCTCTTAATTTAGCCTCTTAATCCCAGGCTATTCATATAATGAGAGTTTAGTTTGATGCATTTGTGATAATTAATAGATGTGGTAAGACAGACTGATCTTACTATGAAATACAAGTGGTGTCTCAGACTTGTATGGACCTATATCCAGGTGTGATTTAGTGGTTGTCTTTGTTTTAGCAATTCAGGTTCTTATTTGTTATCATCTTTCCTTCCACAAATAACAAAGGCATTGGTGGTACATGTCTGAATAAAGACACCCTCTTCTGCTATGCTCTTATTCCCCTCCTCTTCCCCCTGCAACCCTTAATCATATGGATTTTCTTAAAGGATACAGATTACTTTGTATTGCTTTCTTGTTTTCAGGCTTTTCATCAAAGAGCCAAGGGTAATGACTAATTTGTATCTGGTTCTGTTTTACATAACCCTAATTTTACTTGCAAAACAGGTATGTATTTAAAAAGCAATAGGTTAGTTCTTTCATTTGCAGCAAGTTGATTTAAATAAAATGCAAAAGTATTGTTCATTGAAATTTTGCACTAAATTAGTATATATTTTAATCTTTTTTTAATATTCTTGTACTTAGTTGTAGATAATGTACTTACTGTAGTTATAGATAATGCAAAAATTTTTACTGTGAAAGGGCGGGAACATTTTTATATTTTTCACTAGCATTACAGAAGTCAGAAGTTTCAAATTCTTCTGATTTGGATCTATCTGTATTTGTATGTCAATATTAATCCTAAATCACGGCAGTAATTCAAGATAAAAATAATCACCATATTATTAAAATGTCATTTTGGTAAATACACCTGATGGTACCCAGATGACATTCATTTGTACTGACTGCTTCATATTTTTCTGACCTTCATTCTCAAAGCGCATTTTTCATAACTATATAGGCTCAAAAGGCCTTGAAGAAACTTTATTGCTACTATACTTTTTGAATAAGTTGACTAATATTTTTCAGCAAGATATTACAGGGATTTAATTTATCATATTTGGTACCTTTGCAGATTGACTATTACTGTCGACTGGATTGTCTGTGGAAGAATAAGTTCAAAAAAGAACATGAACAGTTTGAAACGATGGAGAATGTTAACAGGCTTTTGCTGGAAAATGTACTTCCAGCACACGTTGCTGCCTATTTCATTGGTGAAAAACGAAATGAGGTATGTTTAATCTCTACTATGTGAAGGACAGTAAATTGGACTTCTGTGACATAGAACGTCATGCTAACAAGCACACAGAAGACTGTAAGGTTCTGCACTCTTTGCCTCTTGTCTGTATCCCAAGAATCTGCTATCCAGATGGCCTCAAAAAAATGCGAACTTTAATGTCAGTCTCTGAAATATGTTTTCAGAATTGGTAGTTTGGCTTCAGGACACAGTTTGAGTTTGGCAAATATTTAAAAAGGATTTATTGCTTCCCAAAGACCATATTTTACCAGAGAAGATAGGCCTGCTTTTTAAAGAAGTTAGTTGAGGAACAGATAGTATCTCCTTGGTAATAACCCCAGTGAGAAGTTCATCGATAACAATTTGGGGTTTTTTTAAGATATCCATCTTATTCTGACAGCATGTCATCAGAATAAATATTGCTGATTTCACAGCTATGGCAAGCGTCATAAGACTGGAACTGTCCAGAACAGATGAGAATCTTTCAGACACATAGATATCTCGCCTCTTCCTTAGGCAAATCAACTTTGCTAATGTTTCTGATAAAATAAGAGATGCCCACTGTAAAGTACTGTGGTTGACTTCATAGGAAAACTGTAATTTGATTACTGGTTAAAAACAATAATCATAGTTTTGAAAACCTGTGGTGGAAGGTGACTGCTGACAATGTGTGACTATATTGTTTTCCTGTAGGACTGGTATCATCAATCTTATGACTGTGTCTGTGTCATGTTTGCATCGGTACCAGATTTTAAGGTGTTTTATACTGAATGTGATGTCAATAAAGAAGGCCTGGAATGCTTGCGGCTGTTAAATGAAATCATTGCTGATTTTGATGAGGTAATTAAGCTTCTGGCAAAAATGCACTGGGTTACCTATTTACTGCAAAATAAAATGTTTCACTAAATCTGTGAGCATTAAAGGGGGAAAAAAGGCTCTTAGGCTGAACTAATACTCTGAGTTCAGCCTTGCAATCTGGAAAGAGATATTTCCATCTGATGGGTTTTTTCAATTACATCATCTAATGCATCAGTAGTATGGTTTGAAAGTCCTGAATTTCAGGACTTTATTTCAGTACTTCAGTGCTTTTATTTCTCCTATGAGCAGGTAGAGCAAAACCCTGAAACTAATTCTCAGTACTTTCTTATCTAACCTTCATGATTGATAGTATTCCTAGAGATTTTTAATGCTTATTGTAGACAGTATAAGATTTCTGGTTAAATCCCACACTGAAATATCGTATTAATGTCTCAAGTTTCTGTTTTTCTTCCCTTCAAACAGCTCTTGTTAAAACCTAAATTTAGTGGTGTTGAAAAAATAAAAACCATTGGAAGCACTTACATGGCAGCAGCTGGTCTCAGCGTTACACCAGGCCAAGAGAACAACCAGGTACGTTGTCTCTGAAATCTGCCTTCGGTATTCTGTGTGTACATTGGTGTGTTTCAAAGTAACAAAATGTAATATATAAAAGAGAAAGTAAATCACCACGAGTGACTTGCTGAAATGTGGAAAAAGATGATAAAAGTGTATTGTCTCCTGTTGAATTCACTATTTATCTCCTAGTTCCATTTTTTTCCTAAGCAGGTATTAAGTCTGTAACCCCAGCATACTTTTTACATCTTTAATCTTTGGTTCCAGTACCTTAGCATTTCTAGATGCATAACAGAATAGCTCTAATAATAGGGAAGTCAAAGAATGGCTGCTAAAGAAAAAGCCATCTCAGAACTGGGCAGTAAGCTTTTTGTGATAGCTGAGAGCTGGCACAAAAAGAGAATCCTCAGGTGCTACATTAGATTGTAATCAGAAACTGTTTGTCACCCAGAAGAATTAAAACCAATTTCTGTACTCAGGCTCACTTTCACTATAGCAGGTTTGTGTATGACATTAGGATGCACATGTGTAATATATACAAGACATGTAAAATTAAATCTGGAATCCTAAAGGACAGACATAAATCCGTTAGAAAATGTAATCACATAGAATCATAGAATTGTTTAGGTTGGAAAAGACC